TGCCACTAACCCAGGGGGTGGGAAGAGGGTCTGGACCATGACATAAAACCACCACATTGTTAGCTGGCCTTTCCCCAAGCAGCTGCATGAAAGAAGTCTTGGTGAAAAGTCACACAAAGAATGCTGTTACACAGCATTCCTGATCATCATCCACTGGAATCAGATTTCAAAGTAACAACTTGCATAGCAAAATTAAACCTTTTAAGCTTACAGAATTTTTTTTTTGTAGATTACTGCAAGAAAAGATTACTGCAAGAAAACTATTTGAATGTAAGATTCGCTGTATTAAATATAAGTGAACAATTTGCTTAAAAAACAGAATGCATACTCAGTATTACGAGAAGATAAAAGAACTGAGATTCAAAAAGCTATAATCAGTCCAAATGGTCATGATTTTATTTCCTCCTCACTGAGTGTCAGAAATCCAAAGGAAATTACTGCAACAGTTAAGGAAATATTACTGAAAGGCCCAAAACTGTCAAATGCTAACAGTTTTCAAGTATCTTCAAACTAACGCTCGCTTGCTACTTCCCTATTTTTCAAAAAAATGTGTTTATATTTTCTCCAGCTACTAATCCACTTGCCAATCCATCAAGCTAAAATTAATCTTTCAGTAGCCTTCTTACACACAACACAGAAAATCAATAAGCAACTCATATACATATCAGGTTTTCTCATTTTAAAAAACTTCATATTCAGTCATGTTTAAAACCACAATGGTTCCCCTACAAGAACATGAATACCAAATTTGTCAAGGAAATATGTAAACGAATATATTCAGAGAGAAAAGTTCTTTTTTCAATTCAATCTTAGTTTTCTACTTTTAATATCAATAAGAAAAATAATTTTATTTTTAAAAATAATAAAATAGGTAATAGCCTAACGAAATTTTTTAATTCCAGTCTCTGAACACTGAAGAAGTTCTAATGATTATGTAAAAACTAAGTCCACATGCAGGAAACATTATTTTTTGTTCACAAAACTTAACCATAGGCCTAAGACAGTCATAATTAAAACTTATTCAAACCTAATGTCTAAAATTTATTACAAATAACCTGCTCGTAACTGTGTAATGTCCTATTACTCTTAGAAATTAATTAAATCAAATGTGTAGGTAAATACAGTCAACTCTTAACAATTCTTAGGACAGAGACCTGTTGAGAGATAAGGCACACCACAGACACTAGTCCAGACTCCACCTGGCTAAATGCAAGAATATTGTTTCCAAGACCTGTGCACGTGCAGGAGCAGAACAGCCACTTTCACACAGTGCAGACACTGAACAAGCACAGGCAAATGGACCTCAGCTGCTCCTGCTCAAGGCCAGTCCAGGTCTCTGACAATGGACAGCACAGGAGGGACACTGAAGCAGACTAGGACATATTCCACAGAAATCCAGACAGAATTCTCTCTTTGGGCTCACTTCAGGTTCTATTACAGCACCAGTAGCTACCATCACCAAACCAAGAACAGGCAGGCATTGGTGTACTCTGCAGTGTACCCAAGAAGGTTACAGGAAGAGGAAAAGTGAGCACAGAATAACTGAAATAACTGACCTTTGCCATCCCAGTCTGCAAATGCCAAGTGGCATCAAATAAAACTATGAGGTAACAGGTTCAAAAGAAGCCCATGGACACACCGTACTGATCAACTGCAAAATGCCTTGCCATGTGACACTACGGATACTAAACTTCATACAGAAAGGAACACTTCAATAGTGTGATGGACTCATCTTCTATTAAACAAAAATACCATGTCCGGAGCAAGAAGTCCCAAAGCATAAATGCTTATAGGCTGGGAAACTATTCTGAGAAGGCACACAAGACCCTTCAAGAATCTAGCTCATAATGATAAAGAGAGCTGCTAAAGACAGCAGGACAAATGTTGTTTGGCCTCCATTATATATTCCTCTTACTATCTCAGGCTGTCATTTTTAAGTTCTCTGTAAAATCCATGACAGTATAGCTCCAATAATGCTGTATTTAAGGAATCACTGAAAATTGTAATTCTGTATTTGCCATAGATGACACTAGAGGACCCACATTAACCTGATAAGCACAACTAAGGCAGAATCAAACAGACTCCAAACAGAAACATAGAACCTAAAAAAGCAAATCTAAAGAAATGGTGATCTCCAAAAGGTCAGATAAGCAGCAACAGGCCTATAAAAGGAGGGGGAGGAGGAAGAATGCACACAGAGGAACCTTGCACTATGTTGGGGGGTGGGAGGAAGGGACAAAAAACTCCCAAAATACCAACACAACTACACCATATGCTACCATAATATACAGTCAATTAATTATACTTATAGTCAGTTAATAATACTTATGAACAACACAAGTTTGATTCCCAAACTACTGTCATACACATAGTGCCCCAGAGTTCTTAAAGGCAAGATAACACCATGACAGAAGAGCTCTAAGATTAGGCTGCCTTCAGTTACAGTTGTGAAACTAACTTAGCACAGCTAATGTACGGGCTGCTGCTAAAAGAAAACTCCTGACCATTCCTTCTATCAGCATTAGCACGGGCAACTGGGTCAGGAAAGTCTTCACTTAGCTGAAAAGGAATGCAGGGGCAGAAAAAAAGAAAAGTTTTAAAAGCTAGTGCCACTACAAAGGACAAGGAAACAATGTATAGCAGGGACCCTCACTGCAGTAACAGCATCTTACTGCAGGTTAAGTAAAGCACTGAGCACTATAGTAAAAGCTCAGTAGCCCGTTAATCTTCCAAACATAAAAGAAAATACAGTACCTTCAATGCCAAAACAGTCCTTCACCATATTATAAAACAAATATCCAGAAGACTGTTAAAAAAAAAATACAGGAGGAGCAGGCCATGTACGGACTAAGCTATCTGCATACTCAAAACAAAAAGCATACTGTTTTTTTCAGGCTAAAAAATGAAGTTATTTGTTGCCAGAAGGCAGAAAGATGAAAAACCTTATACCACTGACTTAAAATCAGCAATTTCTTCTCTTGTTTGAAAAGCTAAGACCATTTAAGTATTTCTAGACTTCGAGAAAGACTGCAAAATTGCAAGTTTATAAAGCTAGATCCTTACAAGGTTTTACCAGTAATGTTTGTTTCCAAGTTTCTTCTCAAATACCTGCATCTTTTTATGATTCCCTTGGCAACAAAAGGTGTAACAGAATTAAAAAAAATTAAGCATTAACCTACTGAAAATGCCATTTTCAACTGGCAAGCCCCTACTGATTTTCAACAGTATTTCTTTAAGTCTAAAAATCTGCTGGCACAATCTTTTTTTAGGCAACTCTTTGAAAGGAAAGCCTCAGGTAAGAATGCAGATTTCTGAAATGCATCACAAGTCAAAGTATTTTCCAAGGTGCACATCCTTCTGTAAAGCTATTATTTAGAGTACATTTGGTCCACCAAGTAGAATTTGCTGTTTTCAACACCACAGACAAGATCTGCTACAGAGGCTGGATATTTTCAGAAGAAAATATAAATTCTTAAGCCTCTCAGCTATGAAATTTTCAGTGTGAAGCTTTCACTGATGAAAACACTTGGGCATTAAAATTATAGTGCAGTGGTATATCTTTGCTATTTAAACTTAAAGCATTTCAATCTTCTATAGTAATTCGCTTTCAGACAAGAATTTATAATTCCAATTAATAGAGCCATAAGAGAAATAACTAAGAGGAAGCTCACATCTTTCATGCACACTAACAAACAAGTTCTCAAGACTTCATGCAAAGAAAAAGTTTCAGGGCCATCACAGACAATAGCAAAGCATTCCCAAATACTAATTTAAGTAAAAAACACAGAAAACACTTCAGCTACTTCATACTTCAAAAATTTTACTGTATATTTCAAGATGTTTGAGGCTTTCTATTACTACTTCCTAAAAAGAACGTGTCTAGCTGCCATTTCTAAAGAAATTAATTCAACACTGCATGTATCAACATGCGAAGAATAATAAAGAAGATTAACAAGACTTAAGCATCTGGCACTAAGTTCAATGATGTGTTTGAGTCAGTTGACACTAAAATGGTAAACCTAAAGCATAGATATAGATATGAACATAACAGTCAAAAGTACATAAGGGAAAGGGTAGAACAGCACGAACATGAGCAGGCCCTGTGTTCCTGCAAATGAACTGCAACAGAAATAGCAAAGCTGCATCAACACTAAGCTAAGATTTAATTAGTCAGAATATTACGTACACAGCATAGAATCTGCAGAATACAATTTACATATACTGTCCAAGTGAATTCCAGAATATAGATCATATTTTCTCCTCTCACAAGAGAAAGGGCTCAGTATCAAAGTGACCAGGCTATTTACAGATAGATGATGGATAGGAATGTAGAAGTATCTACTAAAGAGAGAAGGTAGCATTCCAAAAGTGATTGAAAAGTTAATTGAAATTTTTCACTCATATCACCCAGCTACTAATATAAACATAATCAAGACAGGATATTCAGTGGGGACTTTCTCTAGCAGTTCTACTCAGCAGGAGCAGAACTGATGATAACCTGAACAGTGAAATTAGAAAGATGCAAGGGAGAGGCAATCACTACTGCAACTTTCCAGCTCTAACTTCTTTGTTACAGAACCTATTAGTAAATCAGGCATGAAAGAGTCAACCTTTGAAAATGCACTGGTGCATTCAGTCTAGGCTATAGACATAAAAATTCCACTTTCCTCCATGAATGGTGCACTTTCAACAGCTTTCTATAAATGCTCAGGCTCCAACTAAATACACATAAAATTCATCCATTTTACCCATTACATCTTATGTTAAAATGCAGTTTTTCTATTGTAACTTTTTTCCTAAAAACGAAATTAAGAATGATAGATGTCCTCAAAATAAATTGAACCTAAAGTGGACAAATAAGGATTACTGTAAAATAGTTATCTCTTTCCAAAGCAGTCAGTGTTTTCTTTTATGTTTAGGATCCCTATAATTTTATTTCCACAGATTTATTTCCCTCATACAAAATAAAAGAGTTCACAAAAAGCAAGAATAAAACTTACCCCCATTATCTGTTCTCTTTAAAGCACCATCCTTATGAGGGCATAATTCACATCTCTAGGAAAAAAAGCAAAAATAAAATAAAAAAATGGAATGATCATAGAAGCATTGAAAAAGAAACCATACACATTAAAACTGTTATCTGATATTAAGGAAGCAACCATTCTTTAAAAGTGAATGGGTGTGTTTTCACTTAACCTTTACTTGAATGTTAATGTTAGTTTGTGAAAAATAAAGCTTTCTCCTCCAGATCTTGGAACTATGACACATATTAAATCTACTCTCCAAGATTTTCTTCCTGGATTCCACACTGTGGAATTCTGGAGACAAGCCTCCAAAAACTATAGCATAGGGTAGACTTTAGTGCCAAGAAGCTTGGACACAGCCCAAAAACTCCCTACTGTATTTCCTTCTCCTAGCCTCTCTGTATTGACCAAGATGGTCAGTCACAAAGAAGTGTTGCAGTTATGATCAGCACAGGTGCACATAACTGAGAGACGAAAACCAACCTCACTTTCTGTCTCAGAAAAAGGAAGTCAGAAGTTACCAACTTCAGTAAAACCACATGTCTGGAAATAAGCAGTCTCATCACAGAATGACAGAATAAACTGAGTTGCAAGGGACCCACAAGGTTCATCAAAGCCCAGCTCTTAACCCTGCACACCACCACCCCACCAGTTATCCCAATGTGCCCCAGAGTATTGTCCAAACGCTTGTGGAACTCTGTCAGCACTCTTGGTGCTGTGACCACTTCCCTGGGAAGCTTGTTAATTGTGCAACCACCTCCTGGGTAAAACACATTTATCTAATATCCAACCTAAATCTCCCCAGACAGAACCTCGGACCTTTCCCTTGGGCCTTGTCACTGTCATCACAGAGAAGAGATCAGTACCTGACCCTCCTCTTCCTCTCATGAGGAAACTGTAGACTCCAATGATGTCTTCCCTTAGTCTCCTCCAAGGTGAACACAACCCAAGAGACCTCAGCTGTTCCTCACACAGTTTCCCCTTAATGTCTTTCACCATCCTCATGGCCTTCCTTTGGACACTCTTAACAGTTTAATGTCTTTTTTCATATTGTAGCACCCAGAACAGCACTAGAGGTGAGGCTGCCCCAGATCAGGACAATCCCCTCCCTTGCCTGGCTGGTGATGCTGTGCCTGATGCCCCCCAGGACAGGGTTGCCCCTCCTGGCTGCCAGGGCATTGCTGGCTCATGTCCAACTTGCCATGGACCAGCACCCCCAGGTCCCTTTCTGTGGCCCTGCTCTCCAGCCTCTCATTCCCAGTCTGTTGGTACATCCAGGTGTGCCCCAGGCCAGGTGCAGAATCCAGCACTTTCCCTTCTTGAGCTTCATGTGGTTGGTGATTGCCCAACCCTCTGACTTGTTGAGGGGTCTCTGCAGGGCCTTTCTGCCTTCGAGGGAGTGAACAGCTCCTGCCAGTTTTGTATCATCTGCAAACTTGATGAGTGTCCCTTCCAGTCCTGGGTCCAAGTCATCTATGATGTAATCTTCTTCCAACATACACCAGGATCACAACAGAACAGTTTTTCTGCTATCACTGCCTCCCATCAAGTTCCTAATAGCATGTTTATCTCTAAGTATCCTAGAGCATGTGAACCAATTCCAAATCAGAGATGACAGAAATTACCAGATTTGACACACATTGCACTTCAAGTACTCCACATTGCAAGCACAGGAACACCACTATACAGGATCCTATACCTAGGAATCACCGTATTCCAACCTTTATATATTCCCACATTAGGGACAACTCAAAGCATACAAACCTAATAATCTTCTTAAGCAAATCAAGATCATCAGATGCAAACTTAACACATATCCTTCAAACAGAGTGGGACACCTGCTCTTTTTACTGTTCCTTGAAAAGTGCTATTCTCCTTTACCAGCTAACTGACAAGACAGCAGATAAAGGAGCCTATGATGCTAGAAGTGCCTCAGAAACAGATTGGGTAAACTTATTTAAGGAACTAGAAATTCCATTCCTGAAATTCATATGGCTAAAGTATATCTCAAGGACTATCTTAACGTGTAAGAAATTTGTAAGACTATCTTTCTTAACCTGTAAAAAAATTTATATTAGCAGCAAAGATGTTTTCATGGAAGGTAAAACAGAAAAAAAACTTTTTTTTCTCAGTGTACTGGTATAGAGAGCCGCACATAGAAAGAAGAATCTTTAGGATTGTAGTCTTTTCTCCTTTGCTTCACTCATCTCTCTCTCACTAAAATGATCAGCAATTTATTGAAAGTCAGCATTAAGTCCATGGTGAAATCCGGATATAAAAGTGATCTTAATCATTTTGCAGGTTGCCTGCAGACTTGGATCATTGCACTTTTTCTTTTTTTTAGTCAAGACACTGAAATGAACTGATTAGCTCATTTTAAACAAAATTCTACGTATGCAGTATATTTGTGAGCTGTATCTTAACACTTCAGCTCTCCAAATATTAAATACTAAAGTGCTGAGAGACACACAGTAGCAGCAGTTTCATTTCAGTGAGTTTCTCATACACTGAACCAGATTCCTTAAAAAAGAAGGTGATGGTCACAGTGCAATAAAGTTTGCTCCTACCCCAAAGCTGCAAGCTGTCAGCTCAGAGCCAATGGAGAAGCTGCTAACAGCTTCTACCTTGCCCCACCTCTGCAAGCCTATGGAAGGCTGACATACATTTTCACTAGTGGCAAAACCAGTTTAGGAGGTTCTCTTCTTCCCTTCACCTCCCCCTTACTTTCCCTCCACCACTCGCTCAGCTACTGACACAAGTATCTGTAGGACTGCCACTTAGAACAGATAAATGAAACAGAATGAAATAAACTTTTTAACATTTTTAATTCAGCAATGATGCAACTTAAGTACAATCCCACAAACAGTTTCACCAGCAAAACAGAAAGCAGGGAGCCATAGCACTGCAGCACCAGTAATTAAAGAATCAGCAAGCTTCTTGTGCAAACTTTACCACAAAATAAACCAAAATGATCACAGGACACTAAGATGCAATGACTTGAGTCAGTCCTTTATGCAGAAGAGTTAAGCATGCTCCATTCAGTTTCATCAGCTTCACCTGATTTATTTAATCCTCTGCAGTCCTGGCTGCAACCGGTCAGAGAAGATGCAAGACAGAAAACAAATGGAGGAGGAAGCTTTGACAGTGGAAGAAAACTTGAGTGCAGAATTGCACTCATCTTGCAGGGCGCTGACAATTGGTAACTCTGCTGAGATATTTCCAGAGAGATAATAACAGAGCACTTCTGGCGCCACGAAATCTGGCTACAATCTGCAATAAAGTAGCACCCCAGTAAATGAACAGAGCACACAGCCAGCCAGAGCCCTTCTACTCCCTTTCTCTGCATTAGGAGCCCAACTCTTTCCCAGCCTCCACGCTCCCAGATTGTGTCACCCATTTCTGCTTGCCAAGTTTCAATACACGCCACGTAGTAAAACCAGGAGCTTTGCCAGGTAGGAACAGTGAATCTCATTCCTGGAGACAAGTAGCTAGCAGAGAATTTTTTTCTTTAAACTAACTCTTTATTGGATGGAATAATATTTTGATCTTTTTATCATGTATATTGACGATGCAACACAGTACATGGAATAACCTGATGATCCATACAGATAGTCTCTAATATTTGAGCACATGGACCATGACAGGGCTCTTTTCTCCAGTTGTGTGTTGTAAGCCTTATCTCTGCCAAAGGATTTCTGAAACAGATTTATTGTCTGAGCATTCAGAAACACTGTGGGGAGCTTCTAAACCAGCTGTGCAGGGCAGACAAAGTAGGTAGCAGGGGCAGATACAACACCTACAAGATACCACAGCACAAACAGGGCAATCTGCTATGACTGATCAACAATTCAGATAAACATCATCAGGCTAAGGAGTGCAAATATGAACACTACAGAGGCTGATCGTGACCCTAGAGAATAACCCCATTCTTTGGTGTGCTAAAGGGCACTAGTCCAATATAGCAGGTGCAGCAGCAGACGTGGTGCTATAGGTACATGCAGCTGAATTAGATCTGAAGAGAGTGAAGAGACAAATAATGGCTGAAGGAATACAATGAAGTCGTAGAAAATGACATAATCCTTTTCCTTCCTGTCCTTATGGAGTGTAAGGACATTTCACTTTTGCAGCTCTTTGGTGGAAGAGACTAAGTTCATGGATCTAGCTTCTGTCCATGCAGAATTGGGGCGAATTCTCAACAGGAATGGCTTTGGACTACGAGGTCTCCTGTAGAGGACTAAAGCGAAACCAATCTCAAAGCTGTGAAGCTGGAAGAGTCTGACAGCGTGACTGTCACAACTCACTTCTGAGCTACATAAACAGGAACTTAATTAAGTAAACTAAGACTGATCCTATACCTTTAGCACTCAGGCAAATTGAGATTGCCTGAGTCTGATGAAAAACCTATTGCCTCTTGAGGAGTCCAGTCTTTAAAACATCACCCAGCAGAGACCTAAAATCAAAAGCATGAGATATCCATGCAGAAAAAAAAATTTTATCCCCTTAACATTATTTAAAAAGTAAAAGCAACCAAGAAGAAATAAAGAACTGAAATAATAACATAAAAGAACAGAGGTGTCCACTCAAGATACCCATCAGAAAAAAGCTTCAGGAATGGAAGACCAAAGTAAAACAAGGAGCTAAACAATTCCAGCTTCCCATACGGAATCAGTTACAATCCAACTTGGCTACACTGCATTGTGGTATAAAGTGTTCTTCCTCTATTCTAGATAAATATACCTTTCCATTTTAACCAGGACTAAGAGCTACCTTATGCAGCATTAGGTAACAAAATATGTATTATACAAATATAATTTTCCAAGTCTTTTTGGTAAATCTAGCTCTACCAATTTTTCAACTGGAAAGGCATAGAAAAATTGATTCAATCCAAGAGACTACCTTATTCAGGCTGAAATGAAGGGAAAGAGCAAAAGGTACATGGTAAATAGGGAAGATTAAGAGAGACAGGGACAAGACTATACAAGCAGGAGAGAAGAAGAAAAATAGTAATAGGAATATAACATTGTTTTTCCC